ATCATTTTTTACTTAAATATATTTGAATTATTTCAAGAAGCTATATATAAATTTAATGCATCGAAACTTATTAAAATTATAAAAATCAAAGAAACATATGTAAGATTCATCAAAAAATCGAATTCCATAATTCCACACACAAAAAAAAAATCACAATCTATTACCCTGCAGACACGGAAGTCTAATTTTAATAATAAGAAGAAATCAAAAAACAAATCTTACCTGCAATTCTTGCAAGACGATAACACATCAAAATAATGAATTCCGATGCAGCCTTTCAAAAAACGATCCCCTCGTCAGATGTAGCGTAAACAAATCAACAGGTAAACAAATCACTGATATCCTAAGAGGTGCGAACGTTTCCTTGATGCCACCTAATCGAAGTAAATAAATAAAGTTTCACCGTTAAACGAAAGACGGTGTTGTTTTTTTTTTCCTTCTTTTCATGCAGAGTGACAACGTGAGGTCATTCAACTTGTTGGGCCGGTGTCTAGTAGCCAACTAACTGACTTCTATCAGATGAGCATCAGCACGCAAAAAAAGGTGGAGCATTTGTTAATCTGACCTCTAAGTGAATGCAGGCACTGACAAGTTTAAGGTCAGACTTCTTTTTCTTTTCAAATTCTTTATCGCTTCCAGGTATGGGGAAGTAAGGTTGGGGCGTATAATAAGGGGATTTTCGGGTGATAGCAGGTTTTCCAAACAAATAAGTTCTTAGTGGAGTTAAGATCCTGTGTTTGAAAAGGATCTGTGGTTAATGAGTATTAATGTAGCTTTTCCGGGTCTCTTGTAATGTATTACGTCAGTATAGCTTACAACAGATGATTGTTGTTCATATTTCCTTTCAGAGTGAGTGAGTACATTGAAGTCCCACCTCGTTTTTTTTAAACCTCGGTTAAGTGACGAAGAAGACAACTTATGTGGCACCTCCTTCTTCCAACTTCCACATCACACCAATGGGAGGGCGTTGTAGCCTCGACAGATTTAACGTGCACGGCCCCTCTGCACGACGGGTCTACTAGGGTCGAACTCATGAAAACGCTGACAATGATACTGTGACCTTGACGACTGGACTGCCACTGCCATTACAGAAAAGAGTGGGTGACGCACTGCTTAGCTACTAGAGGGCTTTTGGCGAAGAACCTCGTCAATTTTCTTCTATCATTACGAGTAAACAAGTTGTGAAAATCCACCTGCGATGCATCTGACTGTATCGTTACAACCGCTGCATAGAAAACAGATATATGGTAATAGCATAGCTTTGCGAATGCTAAAATTTTTCCACGCACATAAAACCGGTCGAAGCCCTATCTCTTGAAGTAGGAACATGCCTAGCATAAGCATTCAATTATTTCACCTTTTAAAACTTTTTTGTTGCGGGGGAGGGGGGGTTCTAATTAATATGCGGTTCTAATTTGCTGATATAATAAAAAAATACAATACAAGCATTGCAAAATTTTATGAACAAGTCCTTCTGTAAATGTGTGAGGCATTCTATAAGCTGTCATAGATCATGACCCATAGTTTAGCCATAGCCTAGAAGTTTCTAAACTGTTCCTAAATTATATAAATTAGAAGAAAGGATGTTTATATGCTTCAAGCAAAGTTATTGATTCGTCTCAATACATGTATAAAGCTCCATTAAGATATATTAAAATGAAACAACTAAATAGCATATAATATTTCACCTGGGAGGATTAGCGGGGATAATCCTTTTCTGGACTAACCAATCGAGAAACGGGAAAACCATCTAAATTCTAGAAAGCGGATTATTCTAAATATGAAGTTTAATGAGCTACTTAGATAGATCTCAAAGCTTCAATAGCCCTAAATTTTCAACCACAAAATTTGATATTTAATATTATTAAACTCTGCGTATTTGCTTAAGCTGATATTAATGTGTAGGACTTAATTTGGTACTATTTCTCAGACAAAGGAAAGTTTTAAATTATTCATATAAACTTCTGAATTTCGTGTCAGGTATTGAGTAGTATATTTTAATCCTATACATTTATACTTATATATATACTTATATATATAATCAATTTTTTTTCTACCGAAAAAAAACTTTTGTTACTGAAAAATAGAAATTGTTGTTTTATATTACTGCAGATAGGAAATTCCGAATAATTTATACATAAAGGATCTATCAGAACATATTTATATGATATTTGATCTTTAATATATTATTATTTCATAAACACTCTCAAATTTTGACGGAAAGATTAGTGAATTTGAAAATTAGAGTTCATTGAATGATTTTACTGTAAAATGGAAGAAGATACAAAAATGAAAGAACGCAAACTAGTCAATATTTATATCGTAATCATCTCAACAAAAGTTAACCTCAATTATTTCAAAAAAGACAGATACTTATAGAAATCCAAACTATGTAATATACTAGCTGAAATGCCCGTCCTTCGCATGGGTTAAGTTTTAAAAACAAAAACTACCCCCGTAATCCCGTTGAGAGTGGTTTTCCAAACTAACCGTTCTTAGCAGATTTCAATTCAACAAAAGAAAAATGCAAACCAAATTTCATTATTATAGTTCTTATAGTTCAAAAAAAGGAATATTTTTATCAGTACGCCCCAGTAACAATCTGCTCCCCCCTGGAGTTGATTTCCTTAAAATATTGGATCCCTATTCAACAAAAGAAACATACTTAACAAATTTCAAGTATATGGGTCTAACAATTCAAAAATAGGAAATTTTTTATAACTCCTCTGGACCCCTCGCAACCCTCCTTGGGGGTCGATTTTCGTTTTACTCTTTGTAAGAGGAACTCTATTCCATAAAAGGAACATGCATGCCAATTTTCAAGCACGTAGATCTAATAGTTTAAAAATGGAAATATTTATCGATTATACCCCTTAATCCCCGGCAACGCCACTTGGGGGGCTATTTTCCCAAAATCCATCTTGTAGCTTATCTCTATTCTACGAAAGGAATTTGCTTACCAAATTTCAAGACTGTACATCTAATAGTTTAAAAATGGGGATAATTATCTATAACGCCCCTTGAGCCCACCCCAAAGCCACTTGGGGGTCTGTTTTCACAAAACTCATTTTGTAGGGGAACTGTACTTTATGAAAGGAATCTGCTTACCAAATTTAAAGACTGTGCGTCTAATAAATTAAAATGGAAAAATATTATCTATAACGCCCCTTGAGCCCCCCCCCCAACGCCACCTAGGGATCGATTCTCACAAAACACATTACATAGGGGATCTTTAATCCATTAAAGCATTCTGATTATCATATATGAAGACTGTACGTCCAGTAGTCTAAAAATGGAAATAATTATCTATAACGCTCCTTAAGCCCACAACGCCACTTGGGGTCGATTTTCTTGAAACGCATTTTGTAGCGTATCTCTATCCTATGATATGAATCTGCTTACCAAATTTCAAGACTGTGCGTCTAATAGTTTAAAAATTTTAATAATTATTTATATCTCTCCTTATACCCCAACCCCCGCAACACCCCTTGGGGGTCAATTTTTCCGAAACCCATTTTGTAGAGGACATTTACTCTATGAAAGAAACATGCCTACCAATTTTCAAGTAGGTAGGTCAAGTAGTTTAAAAACGAAAATATTTATCTATTGCACCCCTTAATCCCCCGCAATGCCACTTGGGGGGGGGCTATTTTCCCAAAATCCATCTTGTAGCAGATCTCTAGTCTTTGAAAGGAATCTATTTATCAAACATAAAGACTGTGCGACTAATAGTTTAAAAATGGAAATAATTACTTATAACGCCCCCTAAGCCCCCGCAACGCCACTTGGGTGTCGATTTTCACCAAACTCATGTTTTAGCGGATCTCTACTCTATGAAACGAATCTGCTTACCCGATTTCAAGATTGTACGTCGAGTAGTTTAAAAATGGAAACAATTATTTATAACGCCCCTTAACCCTCGTAGCACCCCTTGTGGTTCGTATTTCGCAAAAAATCCGTTCTTAGCGGATCTCTACTCTATGAAAGGAACATGTCCACCAAATTTCAAGTCTGTAAGTTGAATAGTTCTCTCTCTCTCTCTCTCACTCTCTCTCACTCTCTCTCATTCACTCTCTCTCACTCTCTCTCTCTCTCTCTCTCTCAAGAGATGTCGTGGTTAGTCAGTCAGTGAGTCGCTTTTCTCCTTTATATATATATATAGATTCCCTTTCCCTCTCAAGAAAAAAATGTGACTGAGCAACCAAGCAACAAACAACGTTCTCAAAATTTTCTTTCAACCGTACTCATCTTATTTAATCAATATAAAAAATATCTCAATGAAAGGGCTCACGAGATTCATGACCAAAGATGCTCGAATTTAGGTATGAATCACAAACTCTTATTTCCCTCCATATCATCAGACAGAATAATACGAGATTTTGCAGGTTAATTATAAGTTGTCAAATGGCATCGTGAAGTTAGATGAGTGAGATGCTAGGATCATAAAATCAACTGCAACTAAGAAACAACTTGAATTCAGTAATTCAAATAAATGTGCGTGAGTGTTAAATTAAATAAACATTCAAAAATCATACGATTTCTTACTTTAAGGTGTAATAGTAAAAATCCATTTTGTAGCAAAATATAAAACACGTAATGTACAGTAAAACTTTTATTTAAATATTTATGTATAACTTCAAGAGGTATTCTAAGCTTACAGTGGCCTGAAAAAGATTTAAAGTAGATTAAGCGTTCAAGAAACAAGTAATATAAAAAAAATTAATTCAATTCCTACTTTAATCAACAAAGAAAAATATTATTTTAGTTATTTTTTATTAAATAATTACAATCAATATAAATATGCATATACATATGACAGAATCACAATATTAAGTGACAAAACAGAAAGCGACTTTCCTTGCAATTTTCCATTTTTCTTTCTATATAAGGTGTTTGACTGTTTTTTTTTTTTGCTTGTTACTATTTATTCATTAATTAAATTTAATTATTCTAATAAAATAGTATAGTAAAAAAGAGAAACACATTCTCAAGAATAAGGCCATCCCAGGTGGGATTCAAACCCACGATCTATGGATTAGAAGTCCAATGCGCTATCCATTACGCTACAAGAATGCAACGAATAATTTTCCATTTTATATATGCTGTTGGGCTATTATTTTTGTTTACTATTTATTTATTCATTTTTTTTATTTAATTAATGAATTACTATTTGAAAAAACTGCATTAACATCAAGTGTCATCCACTACAAGTTCAAAAAAATGTATTTGAAATTGAATGCATGAAAAGAAAGTATTTTATTAACGATTGAAAATTCTGAACAAGATATATATAGAGAGAGGGCGGGAGAGAGAGAGAGCGTGAACTAATAGTAGGAATAGAAATATTAACTGCGAATAGCTTTAGTCTTACAGTATTTTTCTCTTTGGGTGCAATTCTAGCTTATTTAACAACGCGCCTACTTTTCATCTACCAGTAATACGCTACATTACATTTTTATTTAACAGAATGAATATTTTGACCTAAAAACATGCGAGGACTTTCAATATCTTTTGTGACAAATATTACAGAATTACATTCCAGAAATTGATGTTCTTTATGATGTCATATACAGTTACTTAAAAGCTATTTCATAAATATTTATATCTTTAATACAACTTTCTAATTAACCACACCCAAAAAATTTCTAGTTATAAAAAAATATATGCAATCTTAAGAAATTCTCTTTTATAATACATTAAAGTAATTCCAAGAATGAAAGATGTATTCTCTTTCTAGAACTCCAGAAAGTTTTAAAAACGAATAGGAACATTTCGAACAATACTTTCCAAACAATTTTAAGTGAAAAATTGTATTTCTAAACTGCTTGCTCTCTTCACCAACAGTTCCTTTTATAAATCCCTCTTTTTTCCTATTTCGATAGATATCTAACTACACTAAAAGCTTTAACCTTGAAGTTTTATCACATAACCTCCCCAAATCTTGAAAAAAAGAACACTTTGTGACGTTTGCCTTTCACAACAATAGACCGTTCCACGGTTCCGTGGCTAGAAGACGGCACGAAACCACTAAACAGAGTATTCGTCCCATTTTCATCTTCAACCGAGACACACACCCAAACAAAATCTCTCAAGAGAAACTGGAGAGAAAGTTTACGCTACTTGATTCTTTTGAAGGTGGAAAACAAACGATGATGGTAAACGCCCCAGTGTCGTACATCCCAACTATTCAGATTGTATGACAATTGCATGGAAGATCTATGAATTGTTAAAATAGTTTATGCTATTGTTTAGCATAAACAAAGATTTGCGGTCATCATGGCGTTAAAAATTCTCTTTAATACTTTTTATTGTCCGTTGTAATAAAATAATATATGTTTTGTGTAGCGTGTTGAAGAAATCCTTTTATCGCATAGTACTAATAAATGGAATAATCAGATTCTTCCTCATTTATATCAGAGGAATATGAAGCTATCATTAAATGCTTTTTAACAGGATATATTTTAGACATTACTTTAAAAATATACATTTGAAATTAACATATTTACAGAAATTAACCGCTTAATATGTGTCACCTTTTTCAAATATAGCAAATATCGCAAAAGAGTCTAGGAACACTTCATATGGAATAGAAAAATGGTTTTTGTGAAGTTAGGCTTAACTTTCTTAAGTTAAGCCTAACCTTATAAACAAATAAAACTCATTACAAAGTTCTAAAAAAATGATGTTCATAGCGATAATTTCAGAGGAAGATTATTTTAATGTGCCTTTAACCCTATTGCATGTAGCAATTACCACAGAGCATTTACCAAGCCTTTCACTCTGTTAAGATTATCCTTACAAAAAGAAAGAAATAAAAATTTAAGAGAAAATAGAAAGAAAATAATAGCGCCAAAAGTATCTTCATAATCTTAATAAATGGATGTATCTACCCATTGCATCAACTCTTTATTATAAATATTAAAGCAATATTAACCATAAATTGATCTGTATTTTTTACCGGAAAAACCAAATTACGTCAAAATATGTGATGTGATTCTCGTAGCCTTGAAATATATTCTACATTTCAAATAAATGTTACTTGTAAAGTAAAAATCACTTCATTTATTATATTGTATTTGCTACATTTATTATAATTCTAATTAACGTAAAATATATCAGGGGATTTTTCTCTGAATATTTTACATTTTTAATATTTGTTTCGCAATTCCCAGTTGTCGTACAACGTTATTTTAGTATCTAGCACTTTTTAATTTCAAAAAACTATCGGAGTTCACTTTGTTTAGCCTTCTACAGAAAGCAAATATTTTTCTGTTGCCATTGCGGCCGCAGTGGCCGAGTGGTCTACGCATCGGATCATGGCTAGCATGTCAGGAGCTCGATCCTAGTACCACTAAAGACCCGCCATGTAGGGGAGCGATATGTTTGCTTTCAGGCAAAATATATGTAATATTCAAGAATATTTTAAAAGGAAAAAAAATCATTTCGAGAAAAAGAAATAGCATTGAAACGAAGTACCATTGATGAAAAGAGCCGAAAGCAAAAATAAAAAAACACTTAATGATTGAAAAATAATTTGATTTATTGCTTTCAGTATTTTTATCAGTCAAAATTTTTTCCGTATTGTGTGTGAGTCCAGTATCCGCGTATTGAGAATAAATAGAAAGAAATTGTGTATTATCTTATAAATACAAAATTTAAATATCTGGATCAATTTCGACTGAAAGCTAAGATGAATTTATCGTTTAATTGAATATTTATTTAACTAACATGTATACATATCCCGTGTATAAAGCTATACAATAATTATAACAATAAAAAAACACCCATTATTAAATCAACACAGTAGGCCCAATATAATATATTTGTATCCTAAACTCATATGCACCATAGATGAAGTAAAATTAAATAAGAGACCTTACGACACAAAGAACACATTCAAGCTATAGACTAAATAGCAAAGCTATTCATGTTTTAAGGCGTCATCCTTTTGCCTATGCAATTCTGAGATAAAATAAATAGAAATTTAAATAAAGTAAAAATAAAGAATGAAACAAATTATTATAATCCGTTAATTGAAAAAAAAACATTAAGACGTCTTAAAAATCAATGACCCATCTAGCTAACTATGAGAACTACCATTTATCTACCACGGTGTACTTATATAAGTACCACTCACTTTAAAATTTCATAGAATAACCATTTTTACTAGTACTCTGACAATCAGCAGCATAA